TAACAGATTAAAGGAAAAAAGTCATTATACAGCTAGTGAAAATGTTTTTATGAGATCATCACACTCATTAATCGACCCCGTCAGTAACTGAATTTTGCGTTTTTTAAGTGTATTATATTGTGAGTAATAAGGTCATCCTTGTAATTAGACCTATGTGGCCTGTTAGGGTGGATAAATAAATAAATAAATAAATACTTTTAGTACCGTTCTCTTATTAGATCTCTTCTTGAATACCTACATCCCAAACTTTGGCCACCCTTTTATTCAAATCAGATTTCAATTGTTCAGAATGAATTTCATCAAGCAGAAATATTGTTGAAACTGAACATTCACTCAATGGAAAACGAAAAGATTCATCTTTGACCACTGCGTTCTTCAAAAAATGTTTTCAGAAAAACAAATTTTCCTGAAGCTTTAGGAGAGTTTGTATTGCTTTTCTTGTGAAATGCTCTAGAAATTTACAAACTTTTTAAATAGTCATTTGTCACACTAATTATACCTTCCATGTTCCGCCGAATATTTGAAACAATATATAATTTTTTCAAAATCAATTTTTAAGTCAGAACGGTTCAGAGCGTAACACTGCAATATCGCTTTCATGAATTTATTTATGTTGTGTAGAGACTTTTTAGTTTTAGTGTATTTGCCATTACATGAAAGGATAACTTGAAATTTGTAAAATGGGTTAGTAGTTGATAAACGAATGAATAATAAAAATTTGAATTGAAGGCCAGTACCTTGAAATTTCAGCATAACTTTCAATTCGTAAGAACTTCTCTGAAAATCATATCGATGTATTTTTCCGAATAAAAATACATTATTTTCGAACGAATTTGATACTGTCTGCATTTCAATTTTGATTGAGGGACGATTAAAAAAATTACATTTTGGGACCACGCTGCATATTGGCGAATTAATCTATAACTTTCATACGGAACGTTTTTCGATTATTTCGCTCACTGTTTCAGTGCCTGCTCGATGTGATACGCTCTGTATATAGAGCCTAAAAAAACAAAACACTTACTTTAAATTTTTCTCAAAATATGTTCAAGCCATTTCCGAGGAGGCGGGGCGATGGAAGTCGATCTGGAAACACGTTGATTTTTGTAGAAACGGACGCGAAACCTCGTTCACGACATAAGCGGCGATAAGTTACTAACTGCGAGCGTCGGGACGCCCGCAAACGATGCGTCGCGTCTTAGACGCAAGCGTGGGCTGACCAGGTGCTTAGATCCCTGTTTTTGAGGTGCGATTTTCACGCTGCTGTCTTTCGAAGTTAAACATTGTTTTCGGGTGGGAGTATTTTTCCACAAAGTGAGAGTACTCTTCCACGGGGGAGTTGATAAATTAGTTTCTCGATACTTCGAAACGATTGTCTAGTTGGAGCTGTAGATTACTTAGATCAGTTGTGAGAGAGATAAAAATCGAAAATAATTACATAAATTAGTTTGCTGTTTTAATGGATTGAGTCACGATCTGTCACTGTCAGTGTCAGTCAAATCTAGTGGGTTTTACAAGAATTGAACGATTTAATGTCATTAAATGCCTCAAAGTTTGTCTGAAAATATTAACAAAAACTACAAGTTATTTTATGTAGTGCTGAAATTTGTTGCATATATGTCGTCAATATTTTCTTGAATTTATAATTCGGTTTTTAAAGTCGTTCTAATCTGATCGACTGACTGTAGAGTTGTTGTGCTGATTTTTCGTACTTAAAAATCTCTAATACGTGGACTTTTCAAAAAATAAGGTGAATGATCAATTTTCGCGGGATACGTAAATTCGATTTGCGACTATTTCATTTTTTGATGTTAGTACATTCGTCTCAAACAAATTTTCACAGTTTCAGCTGTTGAGCATGTTGTTGGTGAAAGACATGAAAGTTATAAGTTTTCAGCGTGCTCGGCAATTTTCTGCAATCGAAAAAATAGATCAAAGAATTTGCATCAAATTTTGTATTACGATGGAATTGAGTGCTCAAAACACCTGAAATGTTGACAGTGGCATACGGTGATTGTACTTTGAGTTAGAAAAATGCTCACAAGTGGTAGGTACAAGATTTTCACAAAAGATCGAAAAGATGTGAATGGCGACGCTCGCCCTGGACGCCACCACACATCAATAATTGACGAAAATATTGAGAAAGTGAAGAAAATTGTTACGGAGATTTGTCGAAGTTGCTGATGATGTCGCCATATCGGTTGGCTCATGTCATGCAATTTTTTCGGAAATTTTAGACGTTTGAACCGGCAGGGAAGTTAGTTCAAAAATTGCTGAATTTTGACCAAAACACCGTCGCATGAGCATCGCCCAGGAATTGTTGAATGACGTCAACGGCGATCCAAATTTGGTTCAAAGGGTCATAACTGGTGACGAATCATGAGAATATGGTTATGATATCGAAACCAAAGTACAATCGTCCCAATGGAAGAGTCCAGGAGAGCCAAGACCAAAAAAAGTTCGATCGAATGTAAAGGTTTTGCACACTGTCTTCTTTGATTACCGTGGCTTAGTGGATCAGAAGGTCTTGCAACATGGTCGCACGGTCAATAAGGAATATTATCTCGAAGTTATGTGCCGCTTGAGAGGAGCAATACGAAGAAAATGTTCAGCATTGTGGAAAAAAATTCATGGTTTTTACACCACGATAATACAACAGCTCACTCGTTATTCCTTGTTCGTATTTTCTCAACAACAACACCGTAGCATGTCTCAGATACAGATACAGATACAGACTTATCAAACTAGTCAAAACATATTATAGTATTACAACTTATAAAAACACTATAGAGCTCACAAGAAAATAGGAAAAACTCACAGACAGTGCATCAAACAGTGAGGTACTCCTCTATTGTATAAAAAGTATTTTCATTAAGGTAATTGAATAATGTTGTTTTGAAGGTATTAAAATTTTTTATCTCACCAAAGATCCTATTGAAACGGTTTTAACATAGAATTCCTTGGTATTTTGAAGAATTCTATCCCACACTAAGCCTAGAGAATGGTAAGCGAATGTCATTTTTATTCCGTGATTGGTGTTGGTGAATTTCACTACTTTTCATGTAGCTATCTTGCTCTTTTTTAATATTCATAATTAGAAGATAAATATAAAGTGATGGTAAAGTTAGAATTGACAGTGACTTAAAATAAGCTTTACAAGATACATCATTTCGAACTCCCATCATGCATCTTATGATTTTCTTCTGAGCAATGAATACTTTATCAATATGTGTTGAATTACCCCAGAAGATCAAGCCATATGTGAGTGCCGACGACACCAGACCATGATATGCCATTCTGAGAACCTCTATAGATACAGTGTCCTTCAATTTATACTACTCAATTTCCCTACCAGATTTTCGAATATGAGTTCTCTATGTCAGTTTCTCATCAATTGTTACACCCAGAAATTTTATGTTTGATACTTGCTCAATTGACTTATGATTTATTTTAACAATAGGGCTTGCGTCACTGCTGATATTTTTTTGTCGAAAAACCATGAAGAATGTTTTGGAAGCATTTAAAATCAATCCATTATTCAGGCACCATTGAAAGAATTCCCCAGCGAATACATTGCTCAGATGAATGCTTTTGTCCAGATTATCTTGTGATATCATATATGTATCGTCGGCATAAATTATGGTTTTTTGCGGGGAACCACATGATAAAATCATGTCATTAATAAATAGGATAAAAAGCAGTGGACCAAGTATTGAGCCTTGTGGTACACCTATAGAAACATTGGTTAACTCTGATTTGAATGAATTCATCATGACAATCTGACTTCTATTTTGTAAATAGGAAAAAACCCATCTATTCGCTACTCCACGAACTCCAATACGGTTTAATTTTTGAAATAGAAGCTCATGATTAACAGTATCGAATGCTCTACTGAGATCAAAATATAGTGCAATAGGATATTCCTTAGTATTCAAGCTAGAATAAATCATATTACATAATTGGTTCATAGCTGATTCTGTAGATTTTCCATCCCGAAATCCATGTTGAGATCCTTTCAATAAATTATTATTTTCCAAGAAATTTCTTAGATGGAAATTGAAGCAATAATCGATTATTTTTGCTAGTTGACTTTGTAAGCATACATTCCTGTAGTTGTTGATGTGTTCCTTGGAACCTTTCCTCTTATATATCGGTACTGACTTTGAAACTTTCAGTTTTTTAGGATATTTTTCCTGTACTGAATGATTCATTGATTATGTGACACAAAGGATAACATACTGCATCACTAACAGCTCTCAAGCACTTACCATTTATCTCATCAATTCCAGCGGCTTCTTTAGAACACACTTTATGTATTGTCTCTTTTATCTCGAGTGGAGTTGTTGGAGTCATGAAGAAAGTAATGCTTGAGAAATGTTCTAATTTTACCTTATTGAAACTGGGGTCAATACTTTGTATATTCATGCAGCCACTGTATTTACCAGATTTGACTCCCTGCGACTTTTTTCTGTTACCAAGATTCAAGACACCCATGAAAATGAAGCGTGTTTCGACATTATGCAATATTAAACAAAATTCATCGATAAAGTCGCTAATGTGTTCAGCATATAGTGAAATCAAACATTAAACAGCTAATCCATACATTTGAATGTGAAACTTAAGTTTCACAAAACTCATAATTATATCTTACCGATAAAACGTGTTTCAAATTTGTAAAATAAGGTAGGTGAAATAAAATACTTCCGCAAACGTGAAGCACACGAAAAATTGTACGATTTTTAAAAGATGAGTGAATTGACTTCGTTTTTTATTACCGTTTAATTTTATTCTGATATTCCTGATAGATGTATCTGGATGAAACTTCAGGTATTCTATATTCATTTCACAGAAGGCAATTTTGGAGAAATCTTTTTAAGAAAAACTTGTGGCAAGGATTATTTCGAACTTAAAATATCAACCTACATGAAAAAGATGAATAGCACAAGACGATTAAAGTCGCTGTCATCTGTCAGTAAAGTCACAGTGTCATTATTCATTAGAAAAGTCACTGTCACTACTGTCAGTGTCACTGTCAACAGTGTCTATGATAGGCGTTTTGTATTGTAAATACGCCACTTTCAATCACTTAATTATAGAAGTTTTTGTAAAATAAAATATAACGCAGGCCTATTTATATAATTTTTGATTCCAAAAGGTATTCGGTGTGAGTTATTCACTGGAAATAATCAAAAATGACGTAAGTGCACAACAAGTTTTGTCCCATAACCTCTTGAAACATATGTTTCATATTTCAGATCTAAAGTTACGTTCAAAATAACACTTACATCGGACCCGAAGCTTCCTTTCAAAGTGTAAGTCAAATTTGTATTAATTCTGATAAATTTTTGGTAGTTACTGTCAGAGTTTTTATTAATAAAATTGTTTTTGTTGACAGCTGAACCGAGCCAGGTATCAAACTGACAGTAGCTATCAAGAAGTGAATAATGAGCGAAAATGCGTCTTCAAACATCAACCAGATACTAACATCCTATGACACCTTCATAAATATTCTAGAGGATCCCAACTGGCCAAAGTCTGCGAAAGTTGAAGACATTAAGATGTCTTTCAAATTAGGCAGCTTCCTTGAAAAAACCATGAAACACTTCGAATCACAGAATAGTTCAGATGAGTTTTTAGATATTTTAGGAAAGTGGTGGAAAGAGAAAAACCGAACCAAAATTTATTCTACAAGTTTTTATTCCACTGCTTGTGACGAGTTACTCATGAAGTTTTTTCGTTGTGAAAATATCTCTGAAAATAATTTAGATGTGGCAGTTCGAATATTCACATCAATTTTTCCAAAGAATCGAATGGAAAATGTCATAAGCAAGCTCATTCTAACTGCTGGTTATCAGGAAGCTGTATCTGACTTTGTGAAAATCATATCAGATGATAAAAATTTTCACGATTTGCAGTATCATTTGAAATTACAAAACTGGAGTGAACTTATGGAAACTGGTAAAGAATCTTACATCAGAGAAGAAGTCAAAGAAATTTTGACTCTCTACAAAGTGGAGTCTTTACTTCATCTCATCATAGGTGTATTGACATTGAGTGATGTATCTGAGACGGAGAAACTTGTTCAAAAGATTGCACTGCAGAGTATTTTGGACAAAATGTTAGATCGAAGCATTCTCAGCAAACAGTTCTGGACTACATTATTTAAAAATGTTGATGTACGTCATGTTAGTATCGTTTGTCAAAATTTTAAAGACTTTCTAATCTCTCTGTTCAATTTCATTGTTTACACAGGGAGTATGATGAGAAAAGAAGGGAATTTGTGGCAAACTGACTCAGAAGTGTGTCTGTGTCCGGAATTGGGATACACAGATCTCATTCTACATATTCAAGATGTGTGTGGGATTAATTCTGAAATGAAGACATATGTAATCGATAGGTTAAATCAAGCAAAAGAATTTACCAACTCAGACATTTGGACACAAATTATTGAAGAAATTGGCTGAAGTTTTTGTATAGTGGAAACTTTTTAATATTTTATATATTGTATTTTTTCATTATATTTTTGTAATTTAGTTGAATAGTTTTTTCACATATACTTTCAACATTCATAATTAGAAGATAAATATAAAGTGATGGTAAAGTTAGAATTGACAGTGACTTGAAATAAGCTTTACAAGATACATTATTTCGAACTCCCATCATGCATCTTATGATTTTCTTCTGAGCAATGAATACTTTATCAATATGTGTTGAATTACCCCAGAAGATCAAGCCATATGTGAGTGCCGACGACACCAGACCATGATATGCCATTCTGAGAACCTCTATAGATACAGTGTCCTTCAATTTATACTACTCAATTTCCCTACCAGATTTTCGAATATGAGTTCTCTATGTCAGTTTCTCATCAATTGTTACACCCAGAAATTTTATGTTTGATACTTGCTCAATTGACTTATGATTTATTTTAACAATAGGGCTTGCGTCACTGCTGATATTTTTTTGTCGAAAAACCATGAAGAATGTTTTGGAAGCATTTAAAATCAATCCATTATTCAGGCACCATTGAATGGGTGGGTCATTTCATTTAATATTTTATAAATGAAAACCATGGAACAATAGAATAATCTTTTGGATACTGAGAGCCATTGTAGAGCAGATAGCATGGTAGAAATTGGTGTATACCTATTACATTTTAAAATTATTCTCATTCCCCGATTTTGTAGTTTTTGTATTTGTTGCACTTTGTTCAAATTAAGAGAGAATAAAATAGATGCACAGTAGTCAAAATGGGGTTGGATTACTGATTTATATACCATAATTTTTGTATCTGTTGATAAGTTATTAGCAATTCTTGAGAATCGCCAATAATTTATTGTCCAATCAGGACTTTCCACGCCGCAACAACAGCCTACGGCAACGTTATCAAGAACTGACAAGAATGACTTCAGTTTCAAAATTAGCTGTCAAGCAGAGCACATGACTATATGGCAAGTGGGATGTCGTGATAATGTCAAAGACGAATGGATGTACACATGGGATTGGATTTGATCAGAAGCAGGGAAAATTCATGGACAAAGCACTATGAACATATGCAAATCACATACACGTGTTTCTGGCTCATTAATTGTCATCAGTACGGTTTAGCCAAGTGCAAGGTTAGGGAAAACTTGGTTGCAGAAACAACACAAATGCACGGAGTCATCAACAGAAACCAGTTGCTCTTTGTGGTTTTGGTTAGGTCACCACGGGTTAGAGATCTCACTAAAGTCACCGTGAGGCAGCTTTAGCTACCTGCGTGATATCGGGGTCCATTATTTGATATAGATGATAATTCAGCAAATCGATATATACTCACACATATAACTGTGCCCCTTTTAAAGGTGTTTTCATTACCAATATTGAAATATAGTAAAGTATGCAGCATTAATAAACTCTCTTAAAGTATATAACTGTCGTTAGAAATAAAAGATCCTTGAACTCATTTTACGTTGAACCAATATTTTTACAGTTTGAGTGTACCAGAGGCTACCCCTTTCACAGCAGTATTGAAATTCGCTGCTGAAGAATTCAAAGTGCCCCCAGCAACCTCAGCAATTATAACAGATGATGGTGTTGGCATAAATCCACAACAAACTGCAGGTATTTTGGACAGTCGTATAATAATCATGAAAAAACCCACCATTCTTTGTCGATTTATATATATTACCAGTCGTGTTTAAATTTCATTTACCGCATACTTGCTTGATGTATCGATAATGCTAATGGATAAAAAAAGTTTCGAATGAAAGCTATGGCACCAGAAAGAACACATTCTAAAGTAAGTTTCAGATGTACGGAATATGACATTTTTCCGTGATCGCAAATAATATGAATGTTTTAAATCGAACAACCATTTAAAACAGTAACCATGCGCCGTTGCCAAGTTATTGATTTTTTATACAATTCAGAAGTGAAGTCGGCTGTGAACGGAATAACTGTAATTGAGATGTTTACCAAAGATCTGAAAAATGTCTGGTAAACACCAAAGTAGCATGTAATGATCTGAGCACTTTTATTTTTATTCCGGGTCAGCTTAATCTGTTAAACAACTTAATTATATTTTGAAGATTATGCTATTTTTTTCAATTGAAACACCCTGTATGGTAGTCTGTTTTCACATTCTACATGAAATTACTTATCCGGGGATATCAACTTGTTATATTTTCTTTGATTATTTGCGTTTTTGAAAATATTTTCAAAAGAATTCAGAAATAAGTAGGTACATGTTCAGCATTTTAAATTTAAAACAAAAAAATGGCAGTAATCACACATAATACATTCTCAAAATGTCTTCCACCTTGTGTGGAAGACATTTGTGTTTGTGAGAGTTCTCACGCGGTTTACATTTTCGTGTCCTCCTGTGTAGTAACAGCAGTACGATAAATCTCTAATTTAGCTAATTCTTATAAATAGAAACCCATTGATTATAGGTCCGGCGACTTCGGCGGCGAAGGAATAGGTCCTTCTCGTCCAATCCCCTGTCGTTTCTTTTGTTTCAAATATTGAAATATATATATTTTGAAATCTTTCAAAAATATTTTGAAAAACGTGAATGATCATAGGACAGGCTAGGAATTGCCTAGTTGGTAGGAATTGCCCGGATAGGTAGAATGCGCGAGGTGTTCCAAATGAAAAAATTGCATTACTAAAGTTGATGAAAATCAAAGTTACATTTGACGGCTCTGGAATTTCACAAAAATCAATAACTTAGGAACGGCGCATTATGACTGAAAACAAATTCAATGCTGAGTGGGAAATTATGGGACCATTTCATCAACAGATAAATAAATTGATTGTTCCATTTGAAAAATTTAGTCAATTTGTTCTCACAAAAAAGTGCAACAATCTGCACATGTGAAACTGATATCAAAATGTGGCCCAGTATATACACACAGTGTTGATAATGTAATATTATTGTTAATGAAAAATATTTCAAAATTGAAGTTGCATTTTATTTATTTCAGGAAACATATTTCTCAAGCATGGTTCAGAACTAAGGATTATTCCAAGGGATCGAGTTGGTTACACCTTCTAGGCTAGCGAATTTTAATAATTTAGCTTGAATTTTGTATAACCCTATTTCGAAATTATATATCACTGTTTCTTTATATATACTTTGTTTGACTTGTAAAATAAAATTTCTTCAAGAATTTTCCGCTGAAAGTGGAAGGTGAATCTGATAATTTTGGCAGTTCCTCAAATTTTGATTTGATACACAACAAAAACAGGAATTTTCAACAATTAAAACTACTTCAGTCTACTATCATTATTATTGTAATTTATCCCCTGAAACAAAATAACACCGGCCGTCGCTGGTCATCGACTGTGACTTGGCCAAGGTCACGCTCAACGAGACTGACGCTTTTTGATCGTTCCAGATGTCGCTTCGAGGTAATTTTCTGTCGGCTTCCATTAAGGTATATAAATACTACCAACAGGCAGATGGGGCAATTGTAGTTGAAAGTGCGTTACGAAGTGATCTAATAAGGCGATAGGCATTAACAATTTATCTGACGATTCAATTAGTGTTTGCATTGTATTGTCAGTGTAGCAGTGAAATGAAGTTGAGTTTGATTGTACGGTATAGTGAATTATTGTCAAACCCACTGGGAAAACAATTGCTGTTCAACGTTTGTGTTTCTTTAACTCATCTGCTGCCATTGAATCAGTGTTGACATTATTCAGTTTGATCCCTCTATTTTTGAATGTGTTTCATACGGGGGTAATAACCACTAGTCAATGATGATTGTCGTGACATTTCACTATCCCCAATAATGACGATATATTGACATGTGCCCATGAATTCATTTAGTAGACCTTTAATCTAATAATAACAACTCTTCCTGAACGACAGTTCACGACATAATTTCGCCTCGGTTTAGAGTTCCACTAAACTGCATATCAGCCTCTATTAGAAAAGCTTTCCCCCAATTAAGTGATAGGGTATCACTTCTATCATTCACTCGGTCAGAATCGCAACGGCCGAATTGATGGGTTAAACTCAGATGAAAACTCTCTCCACAGCATTCCGATGTGCTTTCATAGGTTTTCACTTCAAGATATGTTACGGTAATCTAATATATTAAAAATGGATGTTTGTTGGTTGGTTGGTAAGTGATAAACTTCTACATCGCTCAACCGATCGTGATGAAACTTGACATGTGTAAGTAATTTTTCATAGAGAAGGTTTTTGGGTTATCAATTTTTCTGTAACTCGCCACCAGATGGCGCTGTAGAACAATTTTTTTAAAGCACTGTTCTATAACGCTGCGCGCGCCAAAGTTCGTTGATTCTGATTCTGTCAAAACATTGGAACAGCAGCGATACAGCAATATAGTACTAATTAGTACTACAACTACCAAATTCTACGCAGGCGAAGCCGCGGGCAACAACTAGTTTATCATAGAGTAGGATAATTGATCTTATATGAAGGTTATTTTGACTTGAGTAAATGAAATAGTTGCATGGGATGAACCTAAGTGATGCCCTTTTCGTAATAAATGAACAAAAAATGCAAAATCTCACAAACTGCAGAGTAACACATACTTTTTACAGAAATTTGGAGCTAGCATTCCAGAGGGGCAAAGAGGTACACTTCAACTTTAGTTTTAGCTCAGTTATTCAGTTTGAGGTGAGTTGCTTACATGGCTTGCCAAAAAAAATGTGGAATAGATATATGTAAGGACCCTTATTGCTGTTCACAGATCACATTTCTCCAATTTTAAACAATTTTCACTCATTCTGTACCCACTCCCTAAGACATACTAAGCAACACTAGACTTTTTTGGTCTACAAAACCGAATATGCGAAATATGTTCCTTGAAAGGCGTGTTTATAGTTCACTTACTTTGACCAACATAGTATTTGTCACAATCCAGATATATCATTTCATGAATGCCAGACTTTTCTTTTTTCAACATCCCGTCTTTCAGGTTGTCCAACACCTGTTGAATTGTACAAACAGTTTTGTAAGCCACCTTTATGTTCAATTTTTCAAAAATTCAAATCATCCAATGAGTATTTTCGTTGCCTTATTAAGTATGTTTGAAAGATGCATTGGACAAAAAATGAAACCCTGCCATTTTATATGTTGTGGGAGCTGTTGGAGAGAATACTAACACCTGAAAGTGCATCACTTGTAACTAGTACATCCAAAATTGTAACTTATTGTCATTTTCAATTTCATATGTGAACTTCATATTTGGGGATCTGTGTTGAGACAAGTCACAAAATCCTCCACCCCACTTCAATTTATGTCACATTACCAAGTTTATACATTTACTCAATAACTGTTTACATCATAAACAGACATGACTCTCAAAACGAGAAAGGATGTTCACAATCATAATATGGGACAGAAGGATATAATCAATTTAGGTTCCTGTATGTTATCAATCGGGCAGGAAAATCCCAATTATATGGAAGCAAATATTAAAAAAAAAACAGAGAATTTAGCACAAATTTATTCAAAAACAATCTAAAAAAGTTTTGTATAGATATGCCATTACTTAGTTCCGGAATTTTTAAACAAGAATTGTGACTCGGATCACATGAACCAGTAGTCTTTAGATTTAATTTTCAATTACTACCAATAAAATTATATCCCATTTATTAATTTTTATTTGAAGTGTATGTATATGTAGTTATTTATACTATTTACTATTGATGACGATTCCCATAATGCATGGTAACTTATAATATAAATAAAAAACTTATGAATAAATTGTCTTGTCTTGTGGAACTGTAATCAATTCTTTTTCTTACAAATTTGTTTGATCCAGATGTACTTAATGTTCGACTTTTCCAATCACATAGCTCATTAATTTTCAAAAGATCCCCCAAATGATCGATAATTTTCCTTATGGAGACACTCGGAAATAATGAAGATCCATCTTTCTGATTTTGAATATTTCAGACTCATTTGTAATGTGTCCTTGAGGTGAGTGTTTCAGTGTTACTTTGACTGTTGATAACTTGACATTACAGAACACTGCGGAACTTTTATAAAATGCAACATTTTTCCATTTTGTCAATAACATCCCTAGTTTGTTTACTTTTTTGCTTTGTGAAGATTAAGCAAAGACGGTTGTTGGTGTCGTTTCTTCTTAAATTCAAAACACTCATTTGAAATAAAAAACTGTATTAAAATAGATAAAATATTTTTAATTTCTGAGTAAAATTAAGTACACAGCAAAATAACAAAAGGGTTAGTCAAAAATCTTATATTAAAAAATATAATAATTATGTATAGATACAAAGTTCAAATTATCACAGAATCATTTATGTCAAAAAATACCATCCTAAAATTCACCTATACAGTGAGAAAACAATTTGTTTAATTACAACTTCATAATGAGTATTATCATAATCAAAAATTCATATTCCCGTTACAGGGCACTTCTCTATAGATTATTTAAACAATATGACCCAGAAACTAAAAGTTTTATCGATACCCTGTATATTTTGGCACGAACTTTGCTTGAATCGGTGACAACTATTTCATTAAACAAATAACAAAAATTCTTGCATACATTATATATGAGGATTATTTAGTTTTCTGTTCTGTATAAATATAACAAGTTACGTCAATTTAGCAAAAATAGGAATTCCGAGTAGTTTGTCTCTGGCTCTCTCTTCAGGTTTTCACATTCCAGATTCTGCTATACCTTCATCATCTAAGGAAAAAAAAATTAACATTGTTGAGTGGCTAATTAAATCATAGAAACCAGTATCAGAAACGAAATTTTCAAATCATTCAATTGTCATGCTCCCCAATCATTGAAGTTGGAAACTGGAGTAACAGACAAAACCAAAAAAGTGCATATGGTGTGTACATTCATAAAGGCCCTACAAAAAAGCACCATCATTTCTGAAATGAATCTCTTCGCAGAAACTGCAAATTACACAACTTCAGTTTAATTCAAGGAATGACAGATCTCTTATAAATATTGTTGTATTCAGAAAATATTTTACATACTCGTTAATCAACTATAAAGGATCACACATTAAACACGTCCCTAAGTTGTTAATTTTTTTGAACTGCGAATGTCAAGCAAAGTAATATTTTATTATTATGATTTATCTACATGTCGCCTATTGATTTTCCAAGGACCCATTAGTGAGAAATGAAAATGTAATCACCTTCTAATTATGTTCATTACCAAAGATTTTCACACACAGCATATTTTGTAAGTTATGGTATTACTTCAATTTCCAAACCTATACTCCTAATTATCCCATGAACATAGTATCAGCAACTTGAAAATATTTCATTTTCTCTGGAAAATCAGGCATTTAGCTGTTAATCACACCAGAAAGATTCGGTAAGCTCAAATTCTCCAAGCAACGTTAGTACCAACTTAATTCAAAATAAACTAAAAATACACAAGCTCTCAAATCACAAATATAAAAGATAAATGAAGCCCTCCAAGGAGGTATGTTACAAAGCCAAGCCAAATGAGATTCATACTTTGTCTTACACTGCAAGGTAACTAATTGAAACCAGAACACAAAAACAAAACATCCGTGATCCAACAACAGACAGCGTTGTTTCGACCCACTAGTGGTGCCAGGCTAAACCACGAATGCATTGCTGAAGTCAACTGTTCTTAAAAGACGAGTCTTGATAAGCAGTGGCTATGCCATCTTCCGAAGACCCAATTATCAAATATAAATGAGGCTTCTCAACGGACCACCTTGGGAAGCTTTGTTTATCTTTGATATTTGTGGATTGAGCCTTGTCGATTACATATCTGGCGTCTTAGGTGTCATAACCACTACTGTCAAGACCAGACATTCACTATTTATTGAGTACTCAAAGATTCCAAATAGAGTCATGTGAAATCATACGCCCATTTGCACTATATTTAATGATGTTGTAAATGACTAATAAAGGGATCATTAAATACAACGCTGAGGCTAGCCAGACTCATGATCAGACATGACAGCTAAAACCAGATATGATACTTAATGGTAATTGAACCCAAATCATAGGCTGCCTTGGATTGGTGACCAAAAAGAAACGGATGACTGCTATATTGGTCATTTGAGAATTACACCAACAGCAGCATTGGAGGTACCTTCAAATCTACCCTCTTTTCATCTTGTAGAAACCAGGAAAGCAAGAGGAAGCTAATTCAGACTGGAATATGTGAAGGAATGAACATGTAACATTTTTATTGACCAAATAACATGTCAGATGGAACATAAGTTGAAAAAAAATGATGTAAGGCCATCATTACTTATTTGTTTTTTTTTTAACTGATTATCAACTCAGAACTTTTGAGCCTCTTAAAGGCTTAAAAAAATTTGAAGTGTAGTAGATGCCTCTATAGTTGTTGCCTATCTGGTATTCATGAGTCACACCAGAAAATAATTTTCATCAGATCATTCTACGTCAGACATTCCAGATAAGATCAGATCAACAGAGTAATGGTTTGAAAAGCCCACTGATAGATTTCTTTGGCACGAGTACTTTTTGAAAATTATGATTATCTAAAATACACTGTCGTTCATTGAGATTATAAAAACAATCCTTTTTTCAAATGAAGAAATACATGTAAAGTGAGTTCCCAATTATAGAACCTTCTTCAAAAAACATAATATTCTAACTATAAAAATAAAATAAAAACAACAATAAAAATTAATTGGCGCTCCGGGGCGACTTCATTGATTCCAAATACACTTATTAATTAAGGAAAAATGTTGAGTAAATCACAGGTATGAACAGAACTTCTTGATTAATTCTGTAAACGTTACCAAAATAACTCCTCCAAACCCCATTGTTTATTTGATAAAGTTATTTTTTATTGTAATGTTACTAAAGAAAAGTACCTAATCAACAAATATTCAAAGAAGAGGAAAAGGATAATAATAAAGAACTGTGTAATAATGAGAGTAATGAACACCTAATAAAATCCAAGTTTTAAATATTACTGGAGTTTTATCCAACACCAAACCATTATTTTCAACACCTCGATACGTGTTTCAATCACCACCAAACAGTGCATCACAAGTACATAATGACGTCTAAGTTTCAATTTGAATAATAAATCACACTCCTGAGGCATGCACTAAATTCCCCTATCTTTGTACAAGCAATAATCATGCAAAAGATTTTCACACATTCATTCAATTGTTGATTCCAACATGTCACATTTACGATGCAAAATAATAGAAAAAATTTACCAATATAAAAAAGAGAAAGCAGTGCAGGTTTTGCGCAAATCAACAGCGTGTTCAAATCTACCTCAGTTTTTCCCCTGGCGAGAAAGTGGCGTCAACTGTAGCACCAACACCTTTTCCTGAACCACAGAATAGCAGCTTTTTACAACGTCTTATAAACGCAGATACCATTTCTGCTACCACAAAAATGGAGCGTGTTGCATGAAGGAAGATTATTTACAGGAAGTTGTGCAATATACGATTCAATTTGACAAGTACAATAATATAGGAATTTAGAATCCCCAATTAAATACAATTATGTTCTCAATGTAAATATAGGTGGGGGCGTTTCCTGAGGAGGACCAAAAAATTCTTGGGGAGTGTCTGTGTTCAGAAATAATGTCTGTTTCGTTAATAAACAGAGGAGGATCTCAAGACATTCGTTCAGAAATTATAATCCTTGAAATTTCAAAAGTTTAAAGTTTTCAACTTTTTACTTTGTAGCTTTCGAAGCAATGCAAAGCACAACTGGTTCAAAAAACCTCGTTTGGAATCAAGGATTTTTACAAAACTTGTTGAATATGTCTTAGCACAAGGATAGTGCTAGTTACTTCTCAGTATTTTTTCAGAAAGGCCTGTCTATGTTGGTTGACTGGATGTCTCCTGATTCATTAATTATCATGTCCTATCCCAGGGTTCAAAACTAGTTTTTTATCTGTATCTGCTTATGATAATATTATTCTAACTCACTTAATTTCTATGGAGTATTTTATATTCACTTGATCGGTAAAGAATTTCAAGTATACATAAATTATAATATCGCAGAATAAGTATAATTTTGAGATGCAACCTATACACATACAATATTAGTTTCATGTCAGTGAAATGCAGAGTGCAACAGCATTCTGGAAATGACCTCTGACTTTATGCCTCCAACTGTCAACTGCGAACTGCCTTATAAAGTACTGTTCCCGAGTAGAGAGGACTGGATCCTCTGGTAGAAGGAAATATTAAGAGCAGATAGTTGTTGATTCACAGATGGATCAAAAATACCTTTCGGTTCTGGTGCAGGTGTTTTTACTCGCAGACCCAGGACAGAGATATCTACCTACCTAGGAAATTATGCGACTGTATTTCAAGCGGAAATTCACGCTATTGAATTGTGTGCAGAGAGTGGATAAATCCAACCTCACACACTAGTCAATAAAAATATTATCGGACCGTCAAGCGGCGTTGGAAGCTCTTGACTCCTACCGAGCAACGTCTAAATTGGTAGCAAATTGCCAAAAACGACTCTCTTTAATAGGAAGACTTAACAGATTGTCTCTGGTCTGGATTTCTGGCAATACTGGCCTGGAAGGTAATGAGGCTGCTGACTCTCTTGCAAAGAAGGGTGCTACCAAACAAACATTGAACACCTGGATGGCAAGAAGATTTATGGACTTCTGGCAGAATCTTCCAGGATTGGCTCAATCCAAAGCGTTTATCCACCCTTCGAAGCTTGATACCAAACAATTGTTAGACTACAGTAGGGATGAACTACGATGTCTAACAGGCCTTCTTACTGGTCACTGTCATTTGAATCATCATATGCAGAGACTTGGACTGTCGGAAGACAGTGTGTGTCGCCTCTATTTGGAAAATGATGAAACAGCAGAGCATATACTTTGTGCCTGCCCGCTGGGGACCGAATCAGGTTCTTAGAGTTCGGCAGATCCGTACTCTTACAATCTGACCTGAAAGACCACTCACCATACAATCTAATCGGCTTCGTTAAGAAGCTGGGTTTATTTGTCCGAGTGTGAATAGGTGTGTGCCACAATAAACCCTTACGGGTTGCAGTGGAAGGTCGTATAGATAGACCCACTCACTTTGGACCTAACCTAACCTAGTTTTATGATCGACTCAGAATAACAGAAATATTACTTGGCAAAAATGATTTATATTTTCAAAATTTTACATGTTTGCAAACCCACGTTTGTGTTAATGTCTTGATTCAATATAGATGATATTTCTTCCTTTCTTTATAATTTCCTAGAGTTAATAAATAAACCTACTGTTTATTTACAACACTGACCTTACTGTCAATCAAATAGCACAGCTTCAAAATTTTCACGCCTAAACGTCACAAAAAAAATTGATAGGAAAATTGACTAATTTCTTAAAGTATTTTTCAAATATCATTACACTTCAGCCATTTCTGGAATAAGTTGATTCACTCAGAAGGGGGAGAATTTCAAAAATTAATCTGTCCCATTCTTGGCAATCAAGACGGTAAAGTCATTACATGATCAGCAAGATGAATGCAGGTATCAAGACATTGACTTGATGCTTTGTAGGTTTCAAATAATGGATTATTTTAGGCAAGAGATTTCAATATTTCCAAACGTTTACCTCAATTTTATCAATAACTGCTTGCAAACAAACTGTTATATCAGAATCAACAGTTCTTCAATCGTCTTATGCACTTATATATTTTCTAGAGATGAAAGTGATCAATTGTTTCTAGAGAATCCAAAAATTGTTGGTTTTCTCTCGTCTTGGGACACCCATGAATATGACTGACTGGTATAACTTCAATATAATTCTTCATTATACACTGAAATTTTCCTTTGTTGCTACTATTCAGAATTATTTCATTGTTTTTACAACATCAATTGAATGAAAATTTGTGGCAAACAGACACTTCATCTAAATTTCTCATGATATAAAAAGTAGAACTAATTATAAACCACTTCATGGCCCCCCTCTTAAGAAACTTCAAAAATAATTCTTACAACAAACCAAGTAATTTACAAATGAGAACCAGAAACAAAATTTTCTGATCTACAAGAATGAAACAATCACGTTGTATCACAACAATATCGGTATATTGCACAACAATTCAATATAGAAAGCTTCAAAATTCTAAATGCCTCAATCTCACCTTCAAATCCTTGATTATCATGGATCTCCCTTGTAGAGGAACTCAAATCTTTCCCCTCAAGTACGGCCAAAAGGCACTGATGTATGCAGATATACTGTTGTTCTGTCTGAACCATCCACACTCTTTCTTTCCTCATTGCAAAAACTATTCCAAAAATGTCGACGTAGTCACTCACTAGGATTTGCTGAAGGATGCGATCCAAACATATGAATGTACCAGATCTACCCACTCCAGCACTGAAATAAAAAATTCAATGTGTTGAAGATATATTTTTTTATATGGTTGTTTCAACCGGTTTGTTTTAATGCTATGTGTTTTTGTGGCTCCATATCTCAATAAATATTTATTCTACTGTGTCCTGGTATACACTGATCAATAGAGAATGTTGTAATCTATACATTAATAATGTTCATTTTTTATATTGATATTGATATTGAATAATATATATGCTTGAAGGCAAAAATTACGAACTGAGATTTTTTATAGAGTATTGACCGTTTTTTCTTGACTTTATTATTTGTTGGGCTAACATTAAATTGTATCAACACTCAACACTGCGTCCATTAAAACTACTTTCTTCTAGGAATGATAATTTTCTCTAGCTTCTACTATATGTGCTTTGCTTGTTGAGTTCCAATTTCAATATAGGTGAGTTACAGTACAACTCAGTATATTTTCAGTTTTTTAGGCACTGCTGACCAATTCGAAGCAATAACAAACCTTTCGTGTATTGGAAAACTAATTTTAAAGTAATAATTGAAAATCTGACACAAATATGTGTTAGTATACCATAAAAAATAATCAACATATTCATTCAAGAATCTAAATAAATTGAAAAACCGAATAGCAAGCAACAACACAACTACTTTGTTTCAAATATTTCGATATTGGAAAGTAACGATACCATGACTTATTTAAAAGTGAATTTACTCACCTACAATGGACAACTATTGGTCTTTGATCAGGTGGCACCCTTTCTCGGAATGCCCTAACAAACCTCACTAAGGTATGCGGTGGATTAGGCACTCCAAAATCAGGCCATGTAGAGAAATGGAAATGCCTAACGACCCTTTGAATGTCTCCCTGAAAATATTTCATTATACATTAAAATCATTTCCAAAAATTATGTTTCAAAATTATTCAAAGTTGTTTGTAATTTTAAACACATCACCACCACCACCAATATAAAAAAAAACCCAACTGATATAAAAAATAGTGTGCTACTTGTGATTTTTCTTAATAATAATTTGGATATTGAAAGCAACAGGTTCTCAGTGAACTCTCTACGAACTCGAATTTAACCAAAGCGCTGCCAAAACAACTCAAAAAATTAACGAAGTATTTGGAAAAGAAAGTGTTAATAAATGCAGTTTCGTTACGAAGATTTTAGCATCGTAGATGAGCCCCTTTAATAATCCAGGACGTGGATTTGAGGACCCTGGTGGAGACTGACTCATCACAAAACTTTTGAAACAAACTAATAATTAAACAACAGTGACTTGAAAATGTTCAGAATAAGTTGGTTATTTTTACACTTTTCAATGAATAGGTCGATTATTGTTGATAGCAAGTTGTTCAACAATTTTGTTCTGACACAATCATGAAGTTATCAGTGTTGAACATGAAAGAAGCAGCTATTAGATAAATTAAAACAGACAAGTTATTCTACAGGATCATTAAAAAGTTTTTTACTAGATATATGTTACTACAGATGCAAAGAATTCCTGAATGTAACTGTCAAATGTCTCTTTATTGTGGGTTTGATACGTGTATGTCTGATATATAATTATTTTATTGTTAACTGTAAATAATATGATGTATATTATATATTGTTTACTGTAAAAATTATGACGTACAATTTTGTACCCAACTGGTCAATATAGAAATGAATTGAATTGAGCATTAAGATATGCCAAGTTCAACCTTTTCAGCTTTTTTGTCAGATAATCTCAATTAGAGCTGTTACAGAAGATGGACCATTGCACAATACTATAGTTTCTCTCACTTATGAGTGAAAGAATATTGTATATGTAAATATATTGTCCAGACAAGTCAATTTCTGTAATGTATGAACTAAAACATACAGTACATGGTTCGCCGATTAGTAATACTGTTAAAAAAATCACTTCTCCAATGAAACATGATAGGATACTTTTAAAATTTCTTACAAATTAACCACTTTTGACTAACGACTGTGGAAAATGTGTCTTCACAAAAAACCAAAGATATGGGTTCGAGCTGGGATTTTAAAACAGAAACCTATAACAACATAAACATGTTAAGTAAATTATCGTAACAGATTATTGGAATTTATTTCTCTCGTTCAGAATGAGTCATGAAACATTTTTTTCTAATTTCGTAGCACGTAAAGAGACTTCGAGATATAACCTTTGTCCTCGCTGTCAACACAAATACCACTGATGATGTCTGCCGCAATAGCAGACGAAACTTTTGGTACTTCAGGTTTCATTCAACCACGACCTACCGTCCAGATTTTATTGCCTTCAATTATGACTCCGGCCGTAAAAGTAAATTTCATAACATATATGCTGTATTCAACAATACATGAACAGCAGCCATTATGGTCAAATTCAGTCAAGATTGATATATAGGTTGTTCACGTTAAGAAGAGAATAACGTCACAAGATGACACGTTACGGCGTTGCCAACATGTGCACTATTTTAAACTTTCAAATTTTTTTGTACCGTTGATATGTTTTATTGCTATTATCCTTACTTAATTTTGTTATTTGTTGGTACTATTTCGACAATGCTTTAGGCATATTGAATATACGCAGGTCTTATCAAAAGAAATGATTATTTCTGAAAAGAAAAGAAAGACTGACAGTTTTCGAGTTTTTTTCGATTCGGCAACGTCTGAAATTCAACTATCAGTTGAGCAACTTACAAAATGAAATGTTACTAGTTTCATTGCTGTTGAACGCATTTCAGTGGGAATTTTAACGTTGTTATGTTGGATATACAAAATTACCAAAAATAACGACATTCTCTTCTTAACGCGAACAACCTATATATGGCATTTTGATTTGGGGTAACTCGTCTTATGAAGGATATTTTCATAACACAAAAAAGAATAATAAGAAACATTGCTAATGTATCTTCAAGAACTTCCTGCAGAAGTCTCAGAGAGTATAATATTCTTTATGGTTTATTTATCGTTGAACTATTGATGTATATACACAAAAATTTAGATAAGTTCATGAAAAATGAATCGGTACATCATTATAATACAAGAATAAAAAATGATCTACATATTCCAAGAAATCGTACAACATGGTGTCAAAAATCATAACAAATAATGGGCCTTAGGCTGTATAATATATTACCTGATAAATATAAAAGATTTACCAAGTTGGAAGATTTTGAATATATCAAGGTGCTTATGTTAGATATAAGTCCATACAATATTGATGAGTTCACTAATTTTTTTAAAACAGAGTCGTTTTGATGTGTTCAAGTTCTTAAATGTTCCTAAAAGTGCAATATATGTGTGTGTATATGTATACATATGTATATGTGTGTATATATACACATATATATATATGTGTGTTTATATCAGTCTAAGTATATTCGTTTGTATATATTATGTTTTGAATCTGTTAAAGTGACAAATTTGTATCTTTTTACTTATATGAATTGTTTCATGACTTGTCCCATAACTTGTGAAAGTTCTTTTAAATGGACCAATAAAATATATCTATCTATCTATATCTATTCAGCGAAATTAAATGGAATGTGTCCAAGATGAAACTGCCTCTAACTTACCCTGCACACCATGAACTCGCTAATATTCCAGTCTTGATAGCGAGACTCATTCAGTATTTGTACGGATATATCTCCATAGTATACTGGCATGGTATCGTAGGGCCAGTAATGGTCACACTTTTCTCTGCCCTTTTCTACACACCTCGTTAGCATTATGATGGCCCTTGAATTGGACTCCCAGACCATTCTCCAAAAATCATCTCGGGTCGAATGTAGGGGACCTTGAGTTACAATAAATTCTCTTGGGGAATTGTAACCCTGAAATGAAAAACGAAAATAAAATTGGAGTCTTTGTAGTTGAACACCTTCAAAACATGAGACGACGTGGGAATTTTGTCAACTTGATCCACAACACATTACTATTTAATGAATTTAACTTACTGGTACGTAGTTAGCATTGATATAATCTGAGCCTTCTTCATCATCTACAGGCTGAAGTTTGACCCGTGAATGATCATATGGTAAAATATTGGTAAACCGATTTTTGGGTCTATTACATGGAAGATCTGAGAAGGTACATGGTTGGTCTCTTCCTATATGTTTGAGTTCCTCAAATTCTTCACTAAACCTATTAAAAACAAAGAAAATATAAGAAAAGTTGTTCATCAACATATAAACTTGGAATTTTATGACAGAACAAATAAAATAAAAATGAGTGAATGTTGAAATTATTGAAATATTCAATTAAATTAGTTAAAACAGAAGTAATGTCCGGAAAAAAGAAAATCGAGCAAAAATTTATACTAAAAAATTGTGAGAACCCTAATTTCCGAAAAAAAAATCGTGATCTGAAATGAAATTTTTTGCCTTTCATTTTTGTTCAATTTTTTTTTATATTATTGCTGTTTTAACTATTATTTTAAGTATTTCAAATAATTGACCATTTCATTCATTTTTCTTTTAGTTTTTCATCCACGGTATTCAAATCTTTAGGTAAAGGAAATCTAAACTTCTAACATACACCAAAAAAACACTTTCAAATTTTAATTATACATGAATAATCTGCATTCTGTCCATTAAATACCATGTGATATTTTTATTAATTTTTACTTTTTCTTCTTTGTAAATAAAAACAAGGATTTTGCTACACCTATAAATTGTTAATTTGTAATTATTCATCTATATATAATAATATGATTTTGATAATGAAAATAATAGTTCATTTTTCCCAAAAAACATACAATATTATGGAGAGAAAGAATAATATAACAAATGAAAGTTTAACTAATTCGTTTGAATAAAAATATGAAATATTGATGATAAGATAGTAATTTATATCACAAGATATTTTTTAGAACATTTTTCAAAGAATTTGGCTGATTATTAATTAATATAAAACCACTCCAATAAATCGATTGTTTACAATATTTGATCTGATACTGAATTGTAACAATATGATTTATTAAACTTTGTACCTGTCATGTAAACTTATTGCAATTGAATATAAACAAATGTCATGAATTAACTTTTTTCCAAAAGAAAAATATAAATCGTCCATATAATATCAAGCAATGGGAACTGTAAACAACAAATACACTCAAAGATTTAGGACTCACTCTTGAGCCAAACATGTCATTCATACCCTATTTTGCAAATGTTACTTCTAGAGCACTAAAAATGTTAGGTTTGACTCTCAGATATCTCACTTGAAAAGCATATATTGTTTGTTCAATTGTTATATTGAACATTGTTGTGATGTCCTTCGTATTGATATTGATATGCTCAAAAGTGTTCAAAACGAGTTTTCAAGGTACTCTGCATATAAACTGGAATATCATATTGGTGAATATAACTATAAAATTATATTGAACACCCTTAACTTGAATAATCTGGCTCATAGAAGATTAGAATCAGATCTTACACTAATTCACAAAATAATCAATGGGAACATGTTACTTTTAAAAGTATAATAAAGAAATTTTCAAAGTACCCTTTTGTCATACCGACTACAGCCAGAATGAGTCTATAGTTATAATTTTGAGATTTGCAAACGAATACAATTTATATTTAGATTTTTTCAATTCTTCTTTGGAATCATTTAAAAATACTGTGAAAAAATCGTAATTGATTGGCTTATTTTTGCCTTTCTTTGATTTTTTCCCTCACATCTAGCTGATAGTTATAGATTATTGTTACAGTACATATGTATGAATTTGTATGCTTAGAGTCATGTTGATATTATTTATTTCGAAAATATAATTTGAATGTTTCAACTTGTTTTTTGCTCTAAATCATTTTCTCATCCCTTTGTTTCTTTTCTTTCTCTCAATTATTATTAGTTTACACCGGAATTTAATTTATATCAAAATTAGTGAAAAACACTTCAAGCTGGTTACCTGAAATCAGAATCAGCAGACATGATTCTGTAGTGATTGGCAAAATTTTCAATTCTGACTGGTCTACTAGTCTCAATCACCGAGTCAGGCAGAGACATGTTGTCATTCGATCTGGATTCTGTAGCCTTCCTTTTTCCCGCAGACCTTCTCCTCCTTATAATTATAATGCTTATGAACAGAACTGCGATGAGAACAAGTGGGATGACTATGCCAAGTACAATAGGAGTGCTATCTTGATCTGCAACATGAATTCACTCATTTGTACCAAAATTTAGGCTTGGAATTTTAATTATAATGACTAGAGAACATTTGAAAACTCACCCAGCCTAATCAATCCTTACGAATGCATGGAATATTTTCAATCAATATTTTTTTAATGTAAATATATACTACTTACCTGTTTGAATTGGGAAACTATAACTGGTGTCTGTGAATTTATCTGGAGCAGTGAAAGCTCTGATTTTAACTCTATAAGTGGATCCGGATTTCAAGGGACCATTACAGTACCCAACATGCCTTATATCACAAGACTGTCCTCCTATTGTGAAGTCTTCAACGGAACTATTCGAGAATGGGTAGTAAGGATCCATCACTTGATAGGGAGGCCACACCGAGTATGCTTGAACATCCCGCCAACTTGGCATTTCCAGACCAGAGGCATTTTTCGAATGGTCCTCTGCCACAATGATTGCATATAACTTCACCTTTAAATATGTTATAACAATGTTATTTATGAATGTTGAATGAAGTAGTGAGAAGTAGTGGCCATATACTGAATATATAATTGGACTGCAGAAGCATTTAACAAATGGTTCACTTTATTTCGTCTAGGCTCGATAATGTGTATGATGATAACGTTAGTTCACGACGTGACTTGGAATCTCGACACTTTTTATTTTTTATTATTTTCTTTTTGCATTCCTTTAATTTTTAATTATTCAATTATTATATTTTTACTTGTAGGTTATTTCACTATCATTTCATTTCAGGTTTATTGTTGCTTAATATAATTGTTATTTTCAACTTGTAAACTGTGATACTTGACTCCGTTGAAAGATTATTGGCAATTCTAGAAAAAAAGAATAATTTCTTTGAAATTTTTTTATGAATATACTCAAAATGTTCATCAAACGATAGAGTGTTATCTATCTGGAATCCCAGATATTTAGTTGAATTCACTATTTCAAGAGGTAGGTTAGAAAGTTGTAAATCGTAATAATCGATGATTGAAGATTTTTGAACGAATCTAAAGACACAGAAACATTGTACAGATGATTAAATCTAACTGCATCCCTTCGTTCAATTAGTTTTGGATTCGTATGTCTGAACTAATTTTTTATTTTCATCACTCACTGGGCCACTACATTATTTTTCAAAAACGTTTCAGGCAAACTTACCGGTCCATTTATATCACTGAAATAATTTTTCCTGAATCTGATTTGAATGGTAGTGGAACTCTTGCAAACCTCTGTTGGTACAACTTGCATACTGGGTTTAGGAGGAGCCAGAATTGGCATCCGTTGTTTCCAAACTGTCTCCGGCCCAAAACCAACTCGAGTTTCTGCTTGGATTTTAAAAACATAAGTCTTTCCAGGAACCAGCTGTCTTATAACTCCTCTGAATTCGGTGGGGTTGAAATTCCGAGATAAAGTATGAGAAGATCCCTAAAATTAGAAAATGAGTTCTAATTCTCCCCCAGAAATTGAAATTCCCTACTTCTAATCCATAGGTCACAGTAAACTTCCTTATAACTCCATTTTGTTCCGCCGTTGGAAGAGTCCACTCGAAAACAATATCACTAGGCTGAATATCGACTGGTTCGAATTTGTCAACTTTCCCTGGTACAGATTCTTTGGTAGTGAAAATAGCTGAAACCGGCAAAGATCTCCTCAGGATACTTGATTCTGTACCGCTTCTCACAATAACCGTAAACGTATAGTTTCGATGAGGTTTCAAGTCACTTATGTTGATGGAGTTGTGACGAGTCAGATTTTGGATAAAGATATTCTCAGTCGTAAGGTACTGTACCTCAAATGCATTATATTCTCCGCGAGGAAAAGACCAGCTTAGGGTTATTTCTGTGTCAGATACATAAGTTGAGTTAATACCGGTAATTGGTTCCGGATCTGAAAACAACAGTTACTGTATTTGTGTTTTTGAAGAAATGAAATACTTACATAACCTATCTTGTCTCTGCAAAGGTTGGCTAGCAACGTTGTTAGATACGGTCCAAACTGTGATATTGTAGAGCCTTCCTGGTACCAGCCCAGTAAAAGTAACCAATCTATCGGAATCATTAGCAGTCTTTTCTTGGTCAGGAATGTTGGACTCGGAAAGTGAGAACCTGTAGATGTCGAATTTCGACGAACTTGGCGGTGTTGGAGTGTACCGCAGACTAATAGAGTCTGTCGACTGTTGGTTGTTGACCACAACTACTTCTGATTGAATAAGTGGCACTGAAAAAAATGTTTTTGGCGTTTATGAAAAAACATATTTTGTTATTTGTTGGAGTGTCATATTGTTACGAAACCAAACCAACAATTATACCATGATAAGCAAGTAATGTTTCTTTGTGCATAATAAAACGAATTCAAATGAACATTTGCAACTATGAAAATGTCTAGTAGCAGAATTCAGAGAATGAAACTGAAATAAAATTTTATGGAAGATTAAAATTATTGTAGAAATTAGGCATACATTTTATTATATTTCGGATACTTCCGGGACGATCGGACTTTGGTCCGTCATTCGTCATAACACATGATTTGTCACTAGTTATGACCCTTTTAAGAAAATCTGGATCGCCGTTGACAACATTTTACATTTTACCAACATTTCCATCGGTTGTTGATGTTCTGGGGCTTTCAGGTCGAGTGTCATCATTCACATCTTCTTGATATTCTATGAAAAGCTCGTGCCACATGCAAACATTTTTCTTGAATCAGAGTACAATCATCATATGCCACTGTCAACACAAATTTGATGCAAATTCTTTGATCCATTAAAAAAAGGGTTCATTTTCTAACAGGAGTAATCCCAATTACAAGACAAATATAATTAAGTTTACAGCTATGACCAAGTATGAGTACAATGGAATATAACGAATAGAATATAAAATCAGCAGAGTAATAGAGTAGTATATTATACAAACAGTGATACATTCATATAATATCAAAAAAAAACATACACTGTAGAATTCTAATAGAATTGGCAGTGTGCAGAGAGTTGAAACACAGTATTTCACTTATGGGTTGTAATTAGATTTTAGTTCGACTTCCATAAAAAATAGCTTGTTACGAATTATATACTTGAAGCGTCCAAATGGAACAACAAAAATATCACATTCTGAATAGAAACTATCATACATTTCACAGATGTTATAAACTGGGGATTTTATTAACACGTTGATCCTAGGCAAAGGCAAATAGAAAAATATTTCGTTTCTACTACTTCGTCTCGCTACGTGAAAATCTAGTTGAGATAACAAATCTGGGCAGTCAACCAGATTATGAATCAATTTATATATGAAGATACAGGCATAATATGTTCTTCTGTTTTCTAAGGATTAGAGGGCAAATCTATTTAGCAACACTCTATTATCAATACTCTAATAGCAATTCGTTGGGACGGGTAAGCTCCATCCAGCTTGTAAGCCATGTATTTAATAAAGATTCTTTGACAAGATTCGAGTTGCTGTATACGCACATTGTATATAGGTGACCAGATTAGGGAGCCATATTCCAGACGAGATCGGACATATGCATTAAAAAGTGTTATAAAACATTCTTGGGTTTGAAAGTCTCTACACGTTCTGAAGTTAAAGCCAATCATTTTTTTGCAGAAGATGCGATTTGATTAATTTGTGACGTGAAGCTAAGTTTCTTATCGAATATGATGCCCAGATCTTTAGTTTCTGTGCTTTGTTCTAATATGACGTCATTTATTGCATAGTTAAACTGTATATTGTTGTGGTTGAGGGTGTAATTCATAAATTTACATTTTTAAATATTCAGTGGAAGCTTGTTTAGTATGCACCATTCATGTATCAAATTAATTTCCTTCTGCAGAATAAGACAGTCCTCGGTTGATTTAATGGGTCTAAAAATCTTCAAGTCATTAGCAAAGAGTAATATGTTACTAGAGATATTTGAAACAATATCATTTATAAACAAAGAAAATAGAAGAGAAGCTAGATTACTTCCTTGAGGAACACCACTAGTTGAAGTGAATTATTTTGATTTGTGTCCTTTGTATTCTATAAATAGCGTACGATTCTGAAGATAAGACTATAATAAATTCAACAGTTGACTATCGAAACCAACAGAAAAAGTTTATTCAGTAGAATTTGGAGGTTCAATTTATCAAAGGACTTTGAAAAGTCTGTATAAATTGTATCATTTATCATTTCTTCTGATAACAAAAAATCGTCGAACATGCAAAACAGTTCAAACTTTTATGCCTCTCATCAACAAACTAAATATCTGAAACTGTGAACATATGTTCGAGACGAGTGTACCAACATAAAGAAATATCCCATCAAATGTACGTAACCCGCGAAATTTGAACATTCACCTTATTTTTTAACAGGCCCCGTATTTCTTATCTGAACAACTTACTTGTGCGTGTTTTTAAAACAGTAACATCACTCTCCAGGTCATTAGAAATAGCTTGGATTTCAAAAATGTACTCCACACCTGGCATCAAATCCCCGACAAGTAATCTCACAGGTCCAGTTCCATTTTGGCTTTGAGTTACGTTTCTCCTATTGAACTGGGTGGGAATGGCAGATTCTCTCCATTTTACTATGTAAGTTTCAACTCGACCTTCTGGTCTAGGCCATTCTAAAGTGACGTTGTTCGAATCAACTAAAGGTGCAATATTTGATACCGGATTGGGTCCTGCAAGTGTAAAATAGGAGCATAGTGTAAGAATTGGGGTAGCTTATTTCGAGTAGTTTATATGTTACTTACTGACTGTCAGATTCAACTGCTGAGGTTCATTACTTTCCAATCCGTAACTAACAGTATTAACCTGAATAGTATACCGTTCACCTGGCGTCATATCTGTAACTTCAGCTTCAGTGTTGGGTACTGCTGGTAATCTCACCCACAGGTTGTCGGAATCTGTTCTATAACGAATTGCATATTCCGAAATAAGAGAATCTGTTGGTGCCAACCATTGCACGATAACAGAGTTTGTTGTTGTTTTTTCAATGGACATATTCCTAGGGGGGCGTGGAACTGTAACGGAAAATAATATTTATATTTTCGCACTATTCGAAGTGATTTTCCATCCAAATTATAAAGTTATGAACATTAAATGATTAGAAGAGTCTGTACAAAGAAGGTCTCAGAAGCGAGCAGTAAATATCTACGAGCTATGAAGTTTTTTTAAATTCACGATTATATTGCTTGTAACGCAGATACAATTTTTGAATGGGGAGAGCGAAAAAATGAGGCAAATCGTACTTTATATTCAATTTCTTGTTTTATATAAACAGTAATTAAAGTAAACACTAATCGTTAGATTCAATCATGATATAAATACTATCACTTACACACTGGTTGGAAGTATTCATGAGGTTCACTCCTCAAACCATGGGAAATGGCAAACACCTTCACCAAATAACCGGCTCCTGGATACAGATGGCTCAGAATAATCTTCGAATCAAAGGTAGTCCTGATATTCCTCTCATTGGTGTCATTCCTGATCCACTGTACTTCATACTTATCTTGCTTGGAATTGACATCAGATTTCCAGCTGATGTTGAGCCCATCAATCATGGGTCGTAAGTCCTCTATGATCGGGGCACTTGGTTTGGTGGCTACATAAATAGTTTCTTCCGAAGATTGTTGATCCTTGGACTCTGACTGAACAGTGACAGAATAGTTCCTGCCAGAAAGAAGAGCTTCGAGCTCTATTTCAGTCCTATTCGTGGTAACCATGTTGCTATCGCCTGTCGTACTCTCCACTTCGTGGTATGACACAAGATATCCTTCTTGTGTGCTATTTTTATCTGGATCCCAGAAGATAGTAGCCACACCAGTTTTGTCGTCAGATTTCGATCTAAGGTGTTTTACAGGTAGAGGTTCTGTAAAGAATTAGTTTGGGTACATTTTTTTTTTGGAAAATTAGGCAAAGGCTTACTTAGAGTAACATCACTGGTGACAGGCCATGAGGTAACTTTCCCAGAAACTGTTTTAATAACAACTGAATAAGTTTTTCCGGGTTCCAGGTTGTCTTTGAACTCCCAGAATGTCGGGTCTTCTCTTGATCTTGGTACTGGAGGTGGTTTTCTAACAGTACCCAAAGATATTTGATATTTATCAAATTCGCTGAAACATTCAAAAAACGCCCATTACTATTCACATATTCCTAAAGAATTTTATTATAACTTTTCAACTCTTAGTTTCATTTTGATTCAATTCTCTATATTAATTTGTAGACGCCCTTTATCCAAGTCAGAAAAAATTCATTCATCACTCCTGAACGAAAATAAAAAATATGCATGTTTTTTTTAAAAACATTCATATACAAACATAAAATATATAACACACCTGAATGAATATTTTACATAAATATATATTTGAGTTATGAAAAAAGACATAACTTTGAATTTAAGAATTCCTCTGGAATACCCATACAAAATTGATTTGATGGAAGAATAGAAGAATAAAATAGAATTTATTCATCATTAAAAATATCACACATATAACATATACATTACTGGTACAATATTTATCAGACTAGTCACACAAACAGAAGAAAAAGCAGCTTATACATTCAAATTTAAAAATTCTTCGACATTGTAAAAGGCATTTTCTAGGAGAAGATCTATCAAAGATTTTTTGAATGTATTGTAATTTTCAATATTTCCTAGTAACCTAGTTGCTTTGTTATAACATATGACTCCTTGATAGCTTGCCGGGTCTTGCCCAAGGGCTAATCGTGAGTAAGGTGTCTCAGTTCATTTCCTCTGCGAGTATTGTGATCATGTATCATACTGTTTTTTGTATGGTGTGATTCGTTTCTTTTGATATTCATAGTTATGAGCCAAATATATAATGACGGTAGTGTTAAAATAGCTAGATCTTTAAAAACTGTCTTGCATGATTGTCTACAATGTATGCCAGCGATACATCTTATTATTTTTTTTTTATAACAAACACTTTTGTTAGGTATGCTGAGTTTCCCCAGAATATTAACCCATTTGAGATATCAGTTTGTACTAATACGAAATAGGCCAATTTGAGTACTTCTAGAGATACTGTTCCATGTAGTTGTCTTATTATGAAGCAGACTCTTACTCAGTTTTGTCATTAGATAATCTGTGTGTTTTCGCCAAGTTAACTTCTTAATCAATTACTAATCCTAGATACTTATATCAATTCACCTGCTCTATAGATCTGTGATGTATTTTTATTAGTGAACAATGATCATTAGTAAGATTCTTTTGTTGATAATTCATGAAAACAGTTTTATTTACATTAACAAGTAGACAAGTTTGAGATAATTTAAAATGTTCAAACAAAAAGATATTTCGGTTATATCTGAGAATACTTCGCTAATTAACATGTCCTTGATGGAGGAGGCAATAGAAATGCAAAAACACAGGGATAATTTCAATAGAAAAAAAGCAATGAACATTAATAAAATCTAGCTACCTGTCCATATAGGTACACAAACAAGGTCAGATAATCCAATTAAGAGAAACCAAGCCACGCCCACTAATAATGATATAAAACCAGAGTCAAATACCAGCATCATAGTTACTGCATTGAAAACAACGGGAACAACAACTCGAACAACAACTCAAGCACCAACTCGGGCACTGCGACTGTTACCAATTCACGTTTGATAATATCTACCGCAGTAGTAGACGAAAAGTTATAAAGATAAGGACGTGTTCTATTGACAATAACTTTGTGAAATAATGTCGAAGCCACTTGGCTTTCTTGAGTGCATGAGAAATGGGTTCTCTTTTCTTGATACTGTACGAAAATCTCAAACAAGAGTTTTGAACTCTTTGAATTCGTTGTTGCTTATTTTTGTTTAGAAAATAATGATACATTACATCACAATGTTCGAAATTAGATAGTATCAATGAATCACAAATGAGTATTATTTTGGTTTTTGTGTCTATGAGGGTATAATATTTTCTCAAATGCTGTTTCAATCATTATCTCGATCCGTTTTCGGAATTCTTATCCGTTCCTTACCTCTTTCCACTGGGAGCTTCCCAATGCACAACAAATGAATGTGTCGTAATCTTATCCCTATCGAATGAAATTTTTTGTGGCTTCAATGGAACAGTTCGATATTGGGCAGTAGTAGGTGTCGAAATCTCATCCTCTGACATCGTCTGTACGGAAATATTGTAAGCTCTGCCGGGTACTAGACCTTTGAAAGCTGCCTGAGCCGGACCTGGTGGCTCACCCTCCTTCTCAACATAAAGTATGCTGTCGTTAGCATCTGGAGGATCTATAGATACCTTGTAGTGGGTATAGATGGCTGCAGGGTAGGGAGGCTGCCACAGGACTAGAAGTGTTGTTTCGTTTCGAAACCAAACAATGAATTTGCCAGGGGTGTTAGGTTCTGAAACACAAAATTTAAAAATTACTCTGCTGGAACAATAAACGATCACTTGATCACATTTCAATAAAGTTTTTTTCAGAATACGCATTGACTAGTTTAAAAATGTTTGTGTATACAGGGCTGGATGACTTTTTCTTCTCTAACAAAGTTAGCAAAGTGATCCCCAAATATATTTGCAATATCTTTATTCTCAGATACGATTTTGGGATTATCATATAAATTACGATTTTGGGATTATCATATGAATACTTTTGTTATGAACTCGGAAATGTGCAACCAGAATACTAGAACTAGAAGAAACTGTTTCTAGGAGCCTAGATTCAATCTCAAGAAGTTCAGTCCCAGGATAATTCGGTTAATGTGAAACTTTATAATCGGAAGAAGTACCCAGCTTGACCTAGAGATGGCGGTAGTTGTTAGAAAGTATACAATATATAAAGCATATGTTTCAAGTTTGAAGACGCTGCGTTGTTTAGTATTTATTTGGCAGCCATCAATAGCGAATGTTTTCAGTGAATTTGTGAAAATGGAAAAAATTGTTCATCTTTATGTGGTACAATACTTATATTTGAAAGGCCTCGGCCCGACCATTATGAAAGCCTAACTGATTTCTTCTCCGAGTGAAACTGCTCCTTCATTTACAACAGTAAAATATTGTTTGAAGGTGGTTGACAATGTTTCGTGGTGCATTTCATTAGTTCATTTTTTTTTCAAATTTTTGTGTTCTCTTTGTAGGGCCGGGTATTTCCACTAAATCATTGAGTTCTAACAAATTCATAAGTAAAATCAAAATCATCGTGCTCCAACATGGTTTTAATTCTGTGGAAAAATTTCCAAGCCTAGATGCCATAGCTTCAACTCATTGAAAAAAATCAGCTTACAGTCTCAATGATTTGGTGCTTTGATATTCCGTATAATGTGTACTGCATTATGTATGTCCACGATGTTTTTTACTAACTTGCTTAAAACGTAAATTATACATCATGTAATGAGTGATTTTTTTGCTGTTTTTTTTATCAACACTGTTTTTGACAGATCAAGCGTGAATCGTGTCTTGTGTCATTGTCAAACTTGTTCAGTTTGAATCTAAAAAAATGAACTTTAGACGTTCAAGCCAGTTTCGAATATACCTACACAGTAGGTACTCCCCTGACTAATACCACGAAGGGCGTTGGATTATATCCGTCAGTGCAGGAATCTTCACAGAAAATTTCCTGCATATGCAATTGGCAATAAAACTGATAGAGTTCAGTTTGGTCTATAATTTAACCATGAATCGACTTACGAATGAACAATGCTTGCATATTATTGAATTTTATTATCAAAATTCATGCTTGGTGAAGAAAGTGCATCGTCCACTTCTTCCAATTTATGGGCAATTTCGTCGGCCTACTGAGGGAGCTATTCGGAAGCTTGTGAATAAATTTCGAACCCAGTTTACATTATTGGACATTAAACCACCAACACGCATATGTAGAGTGAGAACCGAAGAAAATATTGCGGCTGTATCCGCCAGTGTTCATGATGACCGTGAAATGTCGATTCGCCGCCGTTCGCAGCAATTGTGCCTCTGTTACTCCACTACGTGGAAAATTTTGCGAAAGGATTTAGGTGTAAAACCTTATAAGATACAGCTGGTGCAAGAATTGAAGCCACGCGACCTCCCACAACGTCTAACATTTGGTGAATGGGCGCTGGCAAAGTTGAAGAAATATCCACATTTTTATCGAAACATTGTGTTCAGCGACGAGGCTCATTTTTGGTTGACTGGATACGTTAACAAGCAAAATTGCCGCATCTGGAGTGAAGACCAGCCACAAGCATTGCAAGAGCTACCGATGCATCCCGAAAAAGTCACTGTTTGGTGTGGATTATGGGTCGGTGGCATCATCGGGCCGTACTTCTTCAAAGATGATAATGGCCATAACGTTACTGTGAATGGCGAGCGCTACCGTGTGATGACTGACGACATTTTGTTGCCCAAAATGGAAGAACTGGACATGCCTGACATGTGGTTTCAACAAGACAGTGCCACATGCCACACGGCACGCAAAACAATGGCCCAATTAAGAGCCGCCTTCGGTGAACAGTTTATCTCACGTTTGGAGCCCGTCAATTGGCCGCCTAGATCGTGTGATTTAACGCCTTTGGATTATTTCTCGTGGGGTCATGTTAAAGCTCATGTCTACAGGGATAAACCAGCAACGACTGACGCTCTGGAAGCCAATATTGAAGCCTTTAAACGTGAAATACCAGGCGATATGTTAGACAGAGGGTGCCAAAATTGGACCTTGCGCATGGGCCATCTAAAGCGGAGCCGCGGACAACATTTGAATGAAATCATCTTCAAATATTAAATTATATTGATCGTTCTATCGATTCCAATCAAGATTTCATAAATTTTTTAAAATTTTTTGTGTTGATTTGAAAATCAAATCCTATACCCCTTACAAAATCACCCATTAGTTAAATGAATAAATATATCTATCTATCTACATATATTCATTCATTTTAGTTTATTCTAGCATGAATCAGAGATTTTCAAAAATCAACTGTGGTTAATTTACAAATGAAAATATATTGAAAATGAGACTTTTCTAAATAGAAACGTGTATTATTTTAAAAGAGACAAGATTTTTGGGAAAAAATTATTTGGCTTCCACTCCCTTCCTTTCTTTTGAAGTTTCACATATTTTTTTTTGTATAAAAATAGAGAAGTGACAGCCAAAAAACCTTTTTTCCTCATTACTTTTGTCTTGTGATCGGTCTAGCATCATATTATTTTTAAAATACTTACTTGTAGTAAAATTTCTCGAGGTATAAGCAGCACTCTCCTTATTTTCAAAAACGGTGAACGCTTGTACTTGATATGTGGCTCCTGGTACAAGATCCTTCAGGACATACATGGGCTTATCGAAGTTATCAATGATGACGGTTTGCGGTTTCTGATCGGGGATGTGAACGAGCGGGTTGATTTTGAGCTTGAAACTGGTGAAGCTGCCTTGAGAAGGAGGGTCCCAAGTGATTATAGCAGTTTTGCCGCTACGGACGTTGACTGACAGACCAGAAGGTGGGTCCGGAACTGAAAGAAAAAAGTAACATTGTTAAGATACATTCATTCGTTATGAATGACTTCAGTGAAAGATTGAAGTTTTATCTGTATTCATTTTGAGAAATGAAGTTCGTTAATTTTAAAGGTTCTAGAAATGTTCTCCATTCAGTTACAAGCAAAAAGTATTTCTTTGAAAGGATAACTGTTTTTTTTTTCAGAAATGTGTAGACCATGTTCAGCTGAGTTTATTGGGAAGAGAAGAAAACAAATAATCGTCTGCATTGTTGTTCAACGTGTTAGGAATCACACGTTAAAAGGTAAGATCTCTTTAGTCCTTAGTTCGCACAAGTTTCTCAACTTCTGAGAGTTGTCGTTCGTATGTGAACGACAGCGGAAAACAGATTTTAAACAGATTTTTAAACAGATAAGTTGATAAGTAAGCCAATTATGTTAATCATGTATCACAAACATTAAAACGAATTGAAAGGGGTATATTTTTTAGGAAAAATTAGTTTTTGGAAAGTTTCGCACATTTTTCGTATAAAGATGGAGAAGCAGAAAGCCAGCAATCTTTTTTCCAAAAACTACTGGTTCCTAAAAATATACCCTTTTTAATTTAAACGAGATTCCTATGGTTGGGTCTGAATCACTGAATAACCGTATGAATGTAGACATGAGTAGATTTCTTTTGTTCAGCAATATAAGTCGTAATATTATGAATGGAACGAGTGCTTAGTCTCGTAATTTTATCCAATACGGCGCTGATGAGGGAGTGGCTTGATCTAAATCTTCGAAGTACGCAATTGGGGTAAGTGAAAAATTGTATTAATACTGTGTTATATATGTTTTAAACAAAACATTTTTTTTATATAAATGAGTTTGCATGCAAAATGTTGTGACTAAAAACATCATTCATGGGGGAGAAATTTCCAGAAAATAAAAAAAAATACAAAATAATCATATCCATTAGGAATTATGAAATCCTGAAAAAACTATTACACAGAATACACTTCAATAAACATGATTATATCAATTCAAAATTCAAAATCTTTATTGGTGCTAATACACAAGAGTGTTTACACAACTCATTTCAAGTTGTACATAAAACAATTACAAAAATAATATAGGTACAAAAGAGCTTGTGAAAGAAAATAATGGCGGACATTAAAAGTCTGACAGTCATAAAATTAGGTCAAAATTTGTATAATTGAGTTGTTCTGAAATGTAAGAGTACCATTGAAAAACTCATTAACATCATAAAAGACATATTGTAAAAGAAAATGTTTGAGTTTTGATTTGTACTAAAACCATATGTTCTGTTTTCGATTCATTGACTTTTAGTTTATTTGATAGGAACCATCGTTCTATTTGTTTTTTTTTTTAATTTCAACCGTGGAAATCAGGTAACTTAAATTTTTTCCTGAATTTATGAACCGTGCACTTATCAGCAAATAGTATAAACTTTGATGGTGGAGATGAATAGAGCAGGTCATTTATAAACACACAAAAAAGCAGTTGTCCTAAAACGGACCCTCGGGGACACCATATTGTATATTGAGTAGAGGAGATTTTTTTGAATTGAAGGGGTTATATTTTTAGGAGTGATTAATTTTTGGGAAAGAAAGTTTTTTGGCTTTCTACTACTCCATCGTGATATAAAAAAAGGACGAGGGAATCTTCCAAAGAAAGAAAGGAAGTAATCAATTTGAAAATGAGTAACTTTATACATGGATGTGTAGATCATGCAAAGAAGTAACTTTCACAAACTGACACAAACTGAAAGAAAGTCCTCCTGAAACTGCTACTTTCATATAAACATTGAATTACACGAAAGAAAAAAAAATTCTTTCGAAACAAATACTTCTATATGAACACTGAATTATACAGAAGATACTTTTCTCTACTCAGTTTGTATTTCAAACATTCGTTGTGGAATGAAAATCAGATATCATTGACATGAATTCTACTTTAAATGAATGGTAACAAATTGCACTTACATGGAACACTGTCATCCTCACTGGTATACACCGATGTTTCGCCTTAAGACATTTGCCCCAAGGCTCTTCAGTACCGAATTGGATAACATTATAGAAAATACACACATTTCATTCATTAATTACGATTTTTTAATGTCACGGAATAAGCATGATCTGCTTATGTCATCGATGACATCGTAATGACATTTATTCACCTATTTGATTTAATCCCAGCCAAGAGGAATCTTATTTGAATTGAAGGGGAAGGACTTTCTTTCAGTTTGTGTCAGAAAGTTACTTCTTTGCATGATCTACACATCCATGTATGAAGTTACTCATTTTCAAATTGATTACTTCCTTCCTTTCTTTGGAAGATTTCCTTATACTTTTTTTGTATCAAGATGGAGTAGTAGAAAGCCAAAAACTTTCTTTCCCAGAGATTTTTTTATTTTGGAAGCGCACGAACTGGACTCGTTTCTCCAGCTAAGGTTTCATCAAGTTGATAATTTCTTTGTGAATATTATAATATTGAAGTTTTTTGAGTAATATATCATGTGAAACGCAGTCAAACGCCTTTGTCAAGTCCAATTAATTCGCTGAGATGAAATCATTGTTTTCGAAACATTTGTTCACTATTTGTGTCAGTCTACCAATAGCCGATGTGTTTGAATTATTTTTTCTGAAACCAAATTGTTCATGAACAAAGAGATTTTCTGATTCAAAATAAGATGTCATTAGGATTTTTAAGGTGGCTTCGCATAATTTGACAAAAATTGGAATAATCGAGATTGGTCTGTAATTTGATGACTCTTTGTGTATTTTTTGTGTATGGGCACCACTTTGGATATTTTCAGAACATCAGGAAACATTTCCAGAGAAATGCATTTGTTTATTAATTTCGTTAGAGGAATAAGTATGATATTCTTGATTGCTAGTACAACTCTGAGATTTAAAAAGTAAACGTCTTTGCTATTTGTTTTTCTCAGTTCATTGATCACATCTCAATTTTTTTGTTTCAAAACTCTATTATCTCAGTGAAATCTGATTGGCTGATGCATCACAATAAACGAACAAAACTTTTGAAACAACTTAACATATTATCATCATCCTACCTGTGGTGAAGTTAGCAGTCCAAGTAAGCGTGTTATGAGTAGCATTCGAATAGTACAGCCAAAAGTCATACTTGGTCCCGGGTAAGGCTTGAGAAAATTTTATCACATCTTTGATGTCCTTGGAAGCTATAGTCGTGTTTGGAGCTGGATATCCTAATGGTGGAAAGTAATCTAACCTATAAACCACGCCATCTTGCCCTAAGTTGCCTGGAATGTGGATGACCAGCTCGGCGCCGAAAGAAAACTGTAAAAAAACAAGGTGAAAAATATTTTACAATAGTTTCATTCGTGTAGTAAGAATAAAAACTCAATATCACACAATGTATCCTAAAAAAGAATGTTCGATGTTTCAATAATAGAAAAAATGATATTTCAAAAACATTGCGAATGTAGCATATAAAAGTCACCAAATTAATTGTCATTTAGAATTGTTACAGAAAATTGCAAGACAACAAATAATTTTTTAGAATAGTATTCTCAATGGCCTGATGTCCATCATCGACATAATCCCATAATTATCTATTCCCCCTGACATAACGACGCTGATTCCAGAATGGGCTTGTTTCATGATTTTCGGTTTACAGTTCATTTGGTAGTAATTTCAAATTGAAAAATAGTGTACTTTGTTTCAGCTCTGTAAATATCGTTGTTTTCCCGCAATTTCCCGCAAATTGGATTTTCTAGGCTCGTGACGTCACGGGCCTAGTCCCGCTTCTTGTTCGATTGACCAATAGAAATAATACAAATAATGAACATTGCCAAATTATACATGGGATCCAAATAACACAAAACGCAATAAAAATGTTATTCTTGAAATATCTCCGGCAGTAGACATTTTCATGTTGATATCACATAAATTTCAATAACGGAAGTGTATATGAACCAGTTAACGTTTAAATTCATGAAAAAATTCTCGATATGAAATGAAATGTACTCGAAAATCGTGGGTTTAAATAGAATTCAACGAGCTATATTTTTAAATGGTTCCCGAAGGCTCATGAACCCTAATAAAATAAATCAATTATGCATTCATGACACCCACCAAAAATAAGAAATTCAACGTTATATATTAGCCATATTGCCACTCAGTCAGCTATCTCTCTGGAATGTATGAGACAATGTACTCTTTGTAATGTTTCATAACATCGTATTTTTGTTAAAATAATTGGCACTTGGCAACACCGCTGTAGACAAGATCAAATTTATTGGTCAGCAGACACGCGGCCCATTTAAACTCTTATTTCTCGAATTTTTCTTTTTTCTGCAAATATAAAGAGGTACTAGGACCGATTAGGCTCGATAAGTATAATATACCCCTAACTAGATCAGTCTAAAAGCAAACGAGTATCATTTTCAATAGCATGAAACAAGCCCATTGTATCTCTCAGGCTTTGAAAACCCCAGAACTAAAAAAAAACGAAGTGAGTGTTGTAAAGGAAACTAGCAATGTCAATCCTAGATGGCATATGCTAGTCCAGGTCACGAAGAGATTATAAAGCTCAAAATTTGGGATTCAATTGACGTTTTCTAAGGAGTTAAAAATAGTCTTGATAGTCAACCATAATCATACACGTATCGTTGACATGAATTGATGTCTACATCGAGAAATATCTGTAAAAAACGATCCCAGCTATTTCTGTAATATCTGTGGTAAGTATACATTCAGAAATCGTAGACTAAGTGTGTTTCGTAGTTCGTGAATGTATCTTGGTTACTTTGGATTTCCTATGGACATCCGTAACAAGTACTGGGTGCCTAATACGGTATGGTGAATATGCGTGGAGTCTTTGAGATTATGGGCGAATAAGAAAATATCCCATTTCAAATATCAAACACCAATGATCTGGAGGGATCTCTCAACCCATTAGAATTATTGTTATTTCTGCGTGGTTGATATAAACGGGATTAATAAAACAAACCGGTTGGAATGGTTTCAACCTAACATGCTATGTATTACTCAACCAGTGCCAAAAACATCTTCATCTACACAAAATGATCACTTCTTCTTCAAGTGATGGAAGTGGAACAACTTATTTCAATCCAGGACCAGGAAAAGCTCAACGCATTGGTCAGAGATCTTGATCTTTCTAAGGAAGCCTCGGAGATTCTAACTTCACGATTAAAACAAAAAAATCTTTCAGCTCAAGAATTTCTTACTATCGGCACAGAGAGAGATTAATGATCCGAATGCGTGGCTCAAAAATCAAATATAACGAACACAAGTGGCTCATATGTGTTGATCGGACAATGAGGGAGCTAAACAAAATATCCTTTTTTTATTTATCTGTACGGCAGCTGTGCGGCACCACCGGGTTCGAAAAAACTGACCTTCCAGGCAAGTTATGGTTTCGGGGAAACTAAATGTGATAAATGAACCATCAATACCTAGGGATCGCATGATACTGCCGTCTCTCCATGTCAAACTAGGGTTCATGAAACAATTTGTGAAAGCTCTGAGTAAGGATGGTGATTGTTTTTAATATATCTCTAAAAAGTTTCATAATATGAGTACAGAGAAACTGAAAACCGGAATTTTCGATGGGCCACAAATGAGAACGTTTCGTACTTCACTACGAAAAAGCTACTGTGTTAGCGAAACATGTGATATTTTTCAAAAATAAAGTTTGTGCAGATCAAATCGTACGGTGTAGTTTATGAATTTGAAAAAATGCCTGGAATAAATCCGTGGATTGCACAAAATTTTCTGTGAAACAAAAAGGATGAAAGCTATGCTCAGCAATGAATACTATGCTCAGCACATTCAAAATATTGTGTTAAATTATCCCCTAAAAAAATAACGCCAGGCCGCCGCTTGTCGTCATAAATCAATTGTGACGTGACCAAGGCCGCGCCCAACTCAACGAGCGCTCGCGACCGTTCTACCGGCTTCGATGAACTTTGAGGAATTCTCCACCGGTTTCGGGATAGTTCGTTTGCCGTATATAAGCGCGACCCAAACCGAGATCGTAGAAGTCAAGTTTAGCAGACAGTGTGGTACAGAGCGATCTAATAAGGCGCTAGACATTTGAATACTTATTGCAGTTTTAGTTGAAGTAGTTGGTTGTATTTACAGTGAAATACAGTCAAGTTTGATTATTGTACAGTGTCGTCAATTATTTTTAAACCCCCCGGGAAAACGTAGCATTTCGGTCGGTCGGTAGCCGGGAGGTTCGACGTAGGTGCCTTGTTCACTCAGTCAATCAGCCGATGTGTGGGTCGACGGTTCAAGCCCCTCAATTTTCACTTGCTATCGTACACATTTCATGTACCCCTTTAAGGGGCTGTATCTTAACAAGGGATGCTCCATTGGAATTTTTTTATATGAAAGATCCTATCTTTTTTTCGATGCAAAACTAAAGCTGGTACAAAAAATCCGACTTCAGATCTGAAATCAGCAACCCGAAAATGTATATTAGGCATAATATTTTATGCAACAAAAACTGTTTCCTTGTGTAATGAAAATAGAGTAACAATAACATTTTTTGATGGCATATATAGCGATGTAATTAACCTAAGTTATAAATGAATATGAACATAAATTTCAAATTTGAATAAATAAAAGAAACTTGTATTGGGTGTCAGACATCCTGATGTATTTCCAAAACCAGATTAAGACGCCTTAGGTATTATCAAACGTTAAATTAATACGGATTTCTCGAGACTTCTACACTCCTTTCACTCTGCTAAATTATGATACAAAACAGGTGATAACAAAAAACTGGCTGCTCGAAACTTCAAGATCAACCAATCTTGCAATCGGTTAAGCAACTTATTGCAAATTGTCCCCATGCCATAGAAATTATATTGAACGATCTGAGTTGTAAATAACTATATAGTGAGACAATTATTTCAAGGCGTTCCAATCAATGTATCCAAATACAGAGCGTGCCGCGGTAAATTTTCGTTTTGAGGACACCCGGCGATTTTGAAAAAATGTTTGCGTGTACTTACGTGTTTTGATGCGTAGATTACGAATCCGAAAGGAAAAAGCGGCGCTCTCCCTTATTTACAAAGTTACGGCCCTTCAAAATTCTGAAAAGGGCAACTTTTCAGCCTTCTTTTTCACAAAATAAACTATTTAAAAACACAAGCATCTATTCACTAGGTCACCTTTACACCTTATTCCTTCTTCTTTGGCACTTTTCACTTCAATAATGAACATTTTTCTTATAAAAAAACTCAATTCAAAAACGAATGCTTCTCCTGGTGACATTATTCTATTTTTAGGTTAGTTACTAGTGACATTTCAGAAAAAAGCGGTTGGTATTTGCCGTCGCCTACTATTTCAAATTCGTAATACACCACCAAAAACCAATTTACGATCTAAAGAATGAAGGTAAAAAACATTTTAATTACTTTAGGAATATGGACTGCATCAGTCGTACCAACCATGCCATTAACCTTAAAAACGTAAAATACAGAGATATGTAACCAAAAAGCAGCTCCGTACATTTTTTAACATTTTTATTGGAAAAAGGTTGATTATTGAAGTGAAAAGTGTCAAAGAAGGAGAAATGATGTGTAAAGGTGACCTAGTGAATGAATGCTTGTGTTTTAAAATAGTTCATTTTGTGAAAAAGAAGGCTGAAAAGTTGCCATTTTCAGAACTTTGAAGTGCCGTAACTTTGTAAATAAGGAAGAGCGCCGTTTTTTCCTTTCGGATTCGTAATCTACACATCAAAATACGTAAGTACACGCAAACATTTTTCAAAATCGCCGGGTGTCCTCAAAACGAAAATTTACCCTCGGTACTATTATTTCTACCAAAATAATAATATTAATAATAATAACGGAAAAACAGATAAAATATCGAGATGTTCTCTTCGAACTCCGCAGACTCTATCCAGACCACTCTAGTTGTTCTGATTATTGGAGTCCTTGGTGGAATGATGCCCTCTCTACTCCCGAATCTTAAAATCATACCGGCCTGCCACACTAAGGCAGAAATCTTAGTCGGACAGATGCAGAAGACTGTCATTCTTGGCTCACTGCGATTGTTCAGGGCACATGATTCTCGTTCCCAATGATCACTTACCCCACGGTGTGGGGAGTGGTCGTTGGTTGATAATGCTGGCGCGCCCTTCCGAATGTATCGGGGCTTCGCGGGATAGGGCCTTACCAGCGCATACTACGGTAAAAATAATAATAATAATATTTATTCAAGTAGGAAAGGAGAATACAGAACAATATGATGGGAAGATAAATATGAATAAATCAGTACACGATAAGTGTCTATCATAAGTG